CACACACACACACACACACACACACACACACACACACACACACACACGGCGGTGAAAACTGGCCAGACAGCTAGGGAAAATTGTGCACTTAGTGATGCTGCTGACTTTTCCATCTTTAGATTGTGGCGATAACGTTGTGTGGGCTGTGGACGATCGAGGGTTTCTTGTAAACGCAGTAGTTTTTAAATCAGAAGTTCAGTCAATCACAAACATACTTCGAGCTATGAAATTTGCATTATTACTATATTGCAATGATTCGAATTCAAAAAACAGTTTGACATCTGTAAAAAAAATGAAAACACATTTTATTTATAGGTAGATAAATAAAATCCGTTTTTGCACATTAATCTAGAACACAGATGTTAGATTGTGGGCCAGATACGGTCCACTTTGATCTTAAGTGGGTCAGAACAGGGAAACTCCCCTTTCCATCATTGTAAAGAACTTTAACTACACATTTACTCTCTGTTATCTTAATATATTCAGTTCTTTTTAAAGTTGCTTAGATAGCACCAATTCACAACAGTCACCCACATTATATTAAAATATGTACTATAAAGTAATATAAGAAAAAGAAGTGCAATCTGAAGAAATGTTGCTCTAGTAAATGACACGTCTGTTGGCACGACCTAAGTGTTCTGGTAGCTCATTGCCAAGACTCCTGTATATTTATAAAATATATAAAAGCTCTAAAATAGAGATGAGAGGAAAGAAACGTTGAAAAAGAGGCATGCTAAGATCGTCTGATAGCAAATTAGTCCTATTTAAAGCTGTTTTTAAACTTGGAAAGAGCCCAAAAAAACCCCCACAAAAAACCCCCACAAAAAAACCCAAAAACTAACAGTACATTAACCATTAAAAAAAAAAAAAAAACAACTATCTGCTTTTTTACTTTAAATAAATAAATAACAGCAAAACAGACCGAACAAACTCATTGCCTTTATGGTAAACAGATCTCAAGGCCTGTGACAGGAAAAACACTTCATTACCAAAACATTTCTGCAACCAGGGCAAATAAAACCTTCAAATTAGTCAGAAAATGCAGCTGGGGAAAAAAATTCAACAAAAAATGGTCTGCATGCTCGATCAGCCAACCTGCTGCCCATTTGTATAGATCCATACTCAAATCTCTTTACACAGTGGGTTCAAATACTGCTGGCAAACATCTATGAAAAACCTTACTGCTGCTGCTGAGCTATTAAAGATGTAGAAAATAGCAGCTCAGGATATATAGTTCTAGATCCCATCTGTGTTTGCTTTTAAACATAAATTTAAAAGTCCAGAACAAAGACCATATGTCTCTTCCTTTTAACTAACAAGCAAATCCTTGTGTCGTATACCTTTTTGCTCTTTAGATAGTTGCTCAGCCTGGTCCCAGACCTCGGTGGCGTACAGGAAGTTGGAGGTGACCTGGACATAACTGGCAGCCATCTGGTGGATCCGCTGAGGTATGGTCACAGACGAGCTAGTGCTGCTGGTACTGCTGACTGCTGAGTAGCCACCCGCTGTGCCCGGTGAGAGTTTGGGAGATACTGGAGAGGGCATACCTGCCGTCTTACTGCATCAGGAAACAGAAATAAGCAGACATGGCAATGAGTTTCCTGGCACTGTGAGGGAGAATCTGGGAGTCACTTAACAGAACAGCAAATAAGAACCTCTCCTTTACTTTATACATCAAAAGATGTAACAGAGGATGTGACTTACTTTCCCATTCCAGGAGAGGGAGCTTGGGTGTTGCTCAAAGAGTTCTGGAAAATGAAATAAGAAGAACATTATGCACACACAGAGGAAGCATGTTACATATTCACAGAGAAAAACGTCTTTCATGGAATTTTACTGCACGTCTTTGGTTTTGAAGGTCTGCCAAGGAAATAAAGTTAATAATAAAAAGTACCTTTAGGTGTTCGGTGAGTGTTTTAGAGTATTTTAGAGCGCTGTCTTTTCTCAACTTGAACAACCGCAGGTAGAGAAGAGACTGGCATCGCAGGCTGGAAGCAAAAAAGGATAAATATTGATCTAAACTAAAGAAAGAAGCAACAAATATTTGAAATGTGTGGAAAGTTTAAGTTACACGGCCAGGTAATGAGTACTTGGAGTTGACAGCTGAAGACAAGAGTCAACCACCTGATGTTGTTCAGTGTACTCACCACAGCACAGCTAGCCTCTTGTCTGCTGGAGTAGCATCTGGGGCCATGTAGCTTTTTAACTTCATAGTGTATCTGGATGCAGAGATAATCAAGAGCTCAAGTTTTTAGGAGAAAAGGATTGAAGCAAATTAAGCACCTCCTTAAATATTGTACTTTTTAAAGGAGCACTCCATCCACTAAGTATCAAAACCCATGCAGCAGAGGCAGAGACTTGTTTGTCAAAGCCTGGTGCTCACATTACCCACAATGCAAATCAACCATTAGCGTGGTGTGTTATGCAACTTGTGCCTCATGCAGCCCTGAGGTGCTTGGCCTTTGGCACAGAGATACAGGTTTTGTTTTTGTTTTTCTTGAACAACTACGTCCTCATATGTAGTGGTTCTCACCAGTGGAGGTCTCCTTTAAAGTGTAATTCTGCTGACAGTGATAAACACAGCTATGGCTGCCCTTACTTGATAAGCTCCACCGTTTCAGCATACATGGGGAAAGGAGACTTTGCCTCTTGAGCGCTCTTCTCCAGCGCGTTACCACATTCAATGAAAGACACCACAGCATCCAGATAGAAAACCGCCTTGTCAAAACGGTCAAACTGCAAAGGAAATTAAATAAATAAATAAAGAGGACACATAGTGATTAAATACTACCCACTCTTTTGAGACTGGGAGGACAAACTACCTTCACATGACAATAATTTGACATGGTTTTGGTCAGTAACATTAGATAAGTGACATGGTTTGAATATGACCTGGTTGGGATTGCATAAACTGATCATATCACTGAAGTAATATTATGCTGATGTAGCTTATGATCCTGATTTTGTGTTTAGAGAGAAAAGAAGAAAACAGCAACTAAATAATTAAACTTTGAGTAAGAATAAGATAATCCAACAGAGATGGCTATTTTGTAATGCAAGTGTACATAACAGATACCAAACAGATCCACCTGCTCATCTACAGTGACCCGGTAATAAAAGCATTTTTATTACCATTTTTAAGGAAATCACGCAGAGCTCAAACTAAAAGCAGCTTTGAAAACTAAGTAAAATTTCACAGTCACCACAAAAAAGTCACTGTGAAATCACTTTCTGCATAAAAGGAAACCTCTTATTATATGTAACATAAAGCTCCATAGAAAATGTCATTTAATGTTTTAAAGTCTTCTCAATTACACCAGTCATTGGGGTCTTGCTCTTACCAGTGCATCTGCATTGTGTTTAAGTTTCTTGGCCTCCTGTAAGTAGTGATCTGCTGAATGGACCCTGAAAGAGAATAATGAGAAGGTTTAACAAATCAAATCATTTAAGTGTTCTTGACACTGTGGCGTGCTTTTTATATCCACTAAACGTAGAAACTTGGAAAGAATGTCATAAAAAAAGTCTCTTAACTCCTGAAATAGCTCTTATCTCATTAAATCAAAATGTGAAGTGAAAAGGTAGGAAAATAAGAAGCAAGACTATGTTGTTGCGTTACCACGGCATTAAAAAGGCAGCGATTCCCAGCAGAGAGCCTTTTAAAATGGAAATTAACATAACTTTTCTGGCATGCAGGCACATCTATTCATGACCTCCCCAACCTCCTGCAGCTTTATGCATCAAAGGCAACTCTAGATCCCCACAGCAGTTCTTTCTCTGTGCCCCGCTGAGGGGTTATCCACAGTGGAAAGAGCTCCTCTTACCTGTCCTCAAACACCAGCTTGGATCTCTGAGACTTGGAGCCGTCTGTGGAGAGCGGGGGCACAGCCAGCTGGTTATCGCAACCCTTTGAGGATTTCTCCTGCAGAGAAGTATGGGGAAAATAACATTTTAGGGAAAAATAAGCTTTTTTTTAAAAAACAGACTTGCAGAACAGGACAGAGTCGCAACAAGTTAGAAGTTGGTCTTATACAAATGTAAAACAATCCCACCAAAAATCAGTGATTATGTTATAGTTGTAGATACACACTGCAAGCCATGACCTTGGCTACTCCCTTTCTACCCTCAACGACAACTTCCTCCCCACTCCATGCATGCTCTGGTATTTAAATTGCTCAGGGAAAAACACTGCACAACTGGCAAGATGAAAGTCTGCCCTATCTGCAACATTTGATAGGTATCAGAGATAACAAAGGCTTCTCATGCCTACCTTGCAGTCACGTGTGCTGCGCCCTTTTTCCTCTCCTTTTCTATGTTTGGAGGTGGAGCTGCCCTTGGTGCTGTGGCTCCCTTCTTTTCCACTTCCTGTCCCGCTGGACAATGACGTGGAGGACTGGCTGACTGTCCGCTTTCGACTGGGATGCTCTGCCTTAATTGTCCGCATGGAAGGAGAGGGGACTGGCTCCTCTTTCTTTTCCGAAGACCTTTTAGAACTGAGTGGGATTTAAATCAGTATTTCATTATGCATTGTGTCAAACTAGGCTCAACATAAAACATTAAAACTAAAAAGTTAAATATTAACATTTCATGTAATTATAAACAAAGAATGCAGATATGGAGCATAATGGCAAACAGGTACAGCTTGAAGGGGCTCAGATATAATAAACTCACTACATTAAGCTGTTATGATGCTCATTAGAATTTACAGGGTTTATTTTGTCTTTTGTGTGATTATCGGAAAAGGCAAAATTAACTACTACTGTCACATTAGGCTCCTGGCTTACAGAGGGTTTACTGGTAATAATATTCAGGACAAAAGCTAAGATTACTCACTCTTTACTGCTGCTTTTATGATGGGATGTAGATTTATCCTCTAGCTTGATCCGCTTGGTCTCTGGCTTTGTGCCTTCCTCATTAGTCTAAAGAAAGATGAGAGAGAAAAATAAAAAGCAGGGTGCATTAAAGAAAAAGTCAGATTTAATAATAGGTTACACGCCTCCAATTATTATCGGAAGACGCCAACTCATGCAGGTATAGCTCAACTATGCCAGCTCACTGTTATCCTAAATGACTGTTGCATTCCAAAATATCCAGTCACAAAGATTTTAATTCTCCATCTTTGGTAGTTGTGTGGCTATGATTAAAGTAAAATGCACAGTCATCTAACAGCGCTAAATCCAGGTCTGGATCTCAACCAGAATGTAGTCAATTGTTCTTTGGCTCAAATGCACTTTCTTGCTTTAATGGAAATCTGTCTGTGTGCTATTCCAAGAGATGCTATACGGGGGGGGGGGACCTTAATAAGTGAAAGGGATACTCAATAACAAGCTTTTCTATTTTACTTTGCTTTCAAGTAGAAATACAATGTATTTCTTACAAAGAGCACTGAAATTTGCTCTACCTTGTGTTTCCTCTTGGCCTTGCTCGAGCTTTTCTCAGAGCTCTGTTTGCTGAAGTCTTTGCTGTCCCTGTCGAGAGAGTCTTCCCTCTCCACTTTTATCTCTGCAGGTTCCTTGTAGGGCCGCCCTGGGATTCTGGACAGCAAGCTGAGATCTATGGGAAACAGGAAGGAAAAGGGTAGGGTATGCTTAATTTGGTTCAAAGTAAAGAAATCCCTTTGGTTCAGTGCCCACTACACCTTGACATATTCTCTGGACTTTTTACAAGACTTGCGAGCAGTTTCGACTAACCTATCTTGACTAATAAAACTTGCTGCTGAGGCTGTCTTGCAGGGTAGCGGTCCTCGGGGTCACTGAGAGGAGACAGCAGCCCTCTCTCTTCCCCAGGCGAAAAAACGCACACGGGTGTCCTGATACTCTCTGTGTACTTGGGTGTCTGGGATGAGGACGGGATGCTGTCGTTTCCTTCGGAGTCTGATGATGAAAAGTCTGTGTCAACAAATTCACGAGATTTCTGAGAAGTCTTGGTTGCTGCCTTGGGCTTGCGCTGGGCTGCAGTGCTGGAGGGAGTAGTAGTGGGCCTCGGCGAGGATTTGGGTTCTTTTTTATTGCTTGGTTTGCGTGAACCCTTCGTAGCAGCTTTGGGCTGATGAGGTGGTATCTCTGGAGCCGGCTCACTCTCCACTCTCAGACCTCCCTTTGGTTCCTCTACCACAGGAGGCTTCTCAGATTTTTTAGGCTGCTTTTTACCCACTCGAATACGTGGATTTGTGCCACCCTCGCTCTGTGCGGGTGACTTTTGCCGGCCACGGCCACCTTCTGCACCTTTCTGGGCTGCCCGCAGGTCCCTGCTTGGGGTGGGTGCTGCTGAATCTTTTGACCCCCCTCCTTGGCTACTATAGCTGCGCCCTGAGCTGTTATCTCGGCCATCTTTCTTGAATTTGGGTGGGACGTTATTGTTGTCCAATGGGGATGAAGGTGAGGACTGCTTGGCCTTCTTGAACCAGTTGTCCAACTGCCACTTGTTTGCCATGGGTTTTTCAGGCTGAAGGGGCACAGAGGGGAGCACAGAATTAGGAAACAGTCTCACTGATTGAACTCCTAACAAAATATAAGAGTCTAGAAGAAAGTACCATATAAATATTCAATCCAAAAAGAGAAGTGGACAGTGTGAAAACTGGTTCATACAATCCTTAATCAACCAAGCGGTATTACAGCTCTGTATAAAGTAACTGAAAAATTATTACTTCAGGGGAGGCAGGCCGTGGTTGCTCGTTGGCTTCGCTGTCTGTCGTGCTGCTTTCGCTCTCGCTGTCAGAGCCCGAGCTGCTCTCTGAGCCACTATGGCTGCTGGAGTCGTCCCTTGATTGCTCAGCTGCTTCGCTGTTATTGCTGTTCAATAGGAGAGCATTAAACATTGTCATTGTGGTGTATGAGCAAACATCTATACCTCCACATAAAGATTTTAAGTGATCAATAATGGTATTTTACGGTCGAGTCACTAAAAACCTGTGTATGTTGAGATTATTCGTTACCGCAGCAAAAATCTGAATACTTATGTATGCATTTTTCAGGGTTTAGAATCAGTCAGCATAAGGCTATTAATGCAACCTGTGTAGTAGCTGCTCAAGAGTCCTTGGGTAGTTCATAGGTTTCAATGCTTTAACTGTCAAGCCACAAGGTGTGCATAAAAACCCCAAGATTTGCATTCTCTGTCTTTCTCCACACACTCAAAGCAGCTTTGTTATATATTCAGTTTTTTTTTAAAAATGTGTGTGTGTGTGTGTGTGTGTGTGTGTGTGTGTGTGTGTGTGTGTGTATACACACACACACTTTGCATCCAGCAGTACAGCAAAAATATGGTTTTATATTTCAGGCATCACTATGTTATCAAGGTGCAGTTAACACATAAAGACAAGACACAAAATGGCTGAAAAAGAAGAAGAAAGCTACTCGAGCTGTGAAGTTTTTCTTTCAAGATTGGGAAAATGATTCAAAGTTAAAACAGTAAGTCTCAACATAGGACTTAGATAAAACTTAAGGACTTAAAAAATGTTTTCTACAGTTTACCTTGCTGATGTGTTCCTTGAGGCATTCTTGGCAGAGTCCTGTTCTCCATCACTGTCCTCACTGCTGCTTAGCCTTAGGTCTTCCTCCAACCTACTGAGATACGGGAATCATTTGTTATTCTTTATATGTCGCCACAGTCGTTTGGAGTTACTGTGATTACTTTTAGCTTCTTAACTCAAATATTTATTGTTCAACTATTCCACTCACTACTGACAAGAAAAGAGAAAAAGAAGGTTCAAAGATGAAGCACTTACGTGGGCTGGTCATCGCAAGTTTTGGCTTGGTGGCTACTCGAGCTCTTTGATGAACTGCCTCGCTCTAAAACACACATAAAAAGATTTATATGTATTGATTGAAAGCCTAGAACATATGCATTTAACTTTACTTCACTATTTTATGTGTGTGTAATACTCACTGTGCCCACTTGGAAAAGGGTGAGTATCCTGAAATTAAAAAGAGGTGTTAACTTATTTTCATGAATCTCTGCGTTATTATATGACTTTGCATTCATGCGAAAGATACCATGATACATTCAATACAAGCAGTAAGTAACAAGTTGACTTATCACATTAAGTAACCTTCCAAAAAACCCTCCTTTTCTTGTCTTATGCAAGGTTTGATTCATACAAATGGAAATAGTTCATCACAACGCAATCACATTAATCAAACAGACACTGCTGCTGACCTTGGTGGGGAATGGAAACTTGGAGGGCTCTGTTTTACAGGGAGTGTGGATGGCCGTCAAAGGAGGGGGCCATGACTGAGTCATTTCCTGAATTTAAAAAAGAGAGAGAAAAGAGAAGGAAAAAAATCCATTAAAACTAGCTTTAAGGTGTGAGTAATCTTGATGGTTCATTCAATTATTTGAAGCAGATGGCTTTTCTATGAAAATGAGAGTTGTGTCTGTACCTTCAGAATTTCGTCGACACAGTTGGCATCACCGGATCCCTAAAGACAGAAACAGCATGCTTATGAGACGTATAAACAACACGATCTCAGTACAGCATGTGTGAGGTGGCTTCCATTTTGAGCCCTATTAGTCATCCTATAGGCATTTTCTGAGAACTAGGAGTTCATTCAGACCATGTGTAACAAGCTGAGAGGTCCTTCAACGTAATCATTACATCATTAAATCAAACACATGCCACTTCTCTGACATAGTAAGCTATAAATTCTACACAAGCCGTTGGTAGGTCGTTTCTAATGTACAATCAGGGTTACACCAGAGGGACACCTCTTGTTTTGAGTCAAGGTCTAAGAGAAAATGAAGGAATGATCACAGCATGCAACATTCAAAAAGGCATCTGCCTTAAGAGAGACTTCAAAAAGCTGCTCTTGAGGTGATATACAAACAAAGAGCACATTCTTTAAATAGTCAACATACCAGGTTCACAACAGCATGAGATTGAGACGCAGGTCTTACCTCTACAGGTTGGGAAGGGATCTTAAGTTTGGCAAGCTTGGACTTCATCTCTCCCACAGTGCTGCTATGCGACTGTCCAGTGTAGCTTTCCGCTTGCGAACTCTTAGGTTCTGCTGTTTCCTGGCCATCCATAGGCCGCACATAGGCTGTTGGTTTTTGCAGCATTGTGCTGGGCTTGGACATGAGAGATGGGGGAAAGGCCTGACTTGAGTGCTGTCCACTGGGGAAGGACGTGTGAACCCGTGAAGGTGAGTCCCAGTTGGCCTCTCTGTCTCGCGGTGACTTTGAGCGGTAGCGGTCCTTGTTGTGATGCTGCTCAGCAGACAAAGAGCTCCGCGAGTGACTACTGGAGGAACTTAGAGAGCCCTTTGCCGGACTTGACATATGTGACTTCGAGTGATCGGAACCTCCGCTGTGTTTACTTGACTTTTTTTCCCGCACCTCCCCTCTCTGGCTACTGTTGCTGCTGCCGCCTCCGTTGCTCCTCTGGCTGCTGTGCCCGCCCTGGAGTCCTGAGCGTTTCTGGGACTGGGATGAAGATCCGCCCGCTGCGGGGCCAACAGGGGTCCACTTACTGCTCTGGCTGCTGCCGCCACACCGCTGGTCCCCACCAAACAAAGGTGGACCCGACTTCTCCTCAGAGGAAGACGAGCTGTTGGATGGTTTACTATTAAGTTTTGGAATGGTGTCACCAATTGGCTCTTTCATTTCGTCGTAGTTGCCCAGCATGCTCTGAATACGGCTGGACAGTTTATCTTCCTTGCTCACCTGCAGAGTGAAGCAGAGACAAACAAACAAAAAAGAATAATTATTGTGGAGAACACGAGTGAAAAGAGGGAAAGCAGAGAAAAGAGAAGTTGTTCAACATTTGAGGTAAAGGCGCTCAACCAAAAACAGAGGCGCAGTGAGAGGCCTAAACACAAAGTTCACTTTTTCAGACTGAGCCCAGATCTGTCCAAACCCATCTGCGAACACAGTTACGCTCTGCCCAGACACCCACCACAGAAGATAATCAATCACTGTAAGGCCACGAGTTCCAGCCGACCTGTTTGCAATCAGCCCGTGACAAAAGTCTGTGTAGAGTATCCAGTTTCACACGTAGCCTCACGCTTCAGTTTTGTTTGACAGAGTCACACCGAGGGTGAAGAAATACTAGCCGTTATCTGCAGCAGGAAATGTAACTTAGCTTGGTCATAACGTGCACTCCACTACCTCCGGTCTGCGCTGCCTGGCTCACATATGCGCAGCTAGGTATCACCTATTTTTCTTAATGGCTGTTGGTTTCGATTTTGTTTTAGGCTGTTTTGTTTTGAACAACTGCACTGTTGCTTTCACATAACACACCATTGTTGCGTTATGTTTAACTGAGGAAATTTCTGAGAGGAAAACCTTCAGATTGTAACTCTGTCAAAGCTTTTTTTTTTTTCTTGATAAACAATGGTGTATAGTGGTTGTTCAACTGCTGAAACTTTCAGAGGAAACCTCCAAGATGACCACAGGAACACTTTTCACCTTTTGGTTCCTGTGTGACAAAAACACTTAGTCCTGCAGCAGTACGGTCTTTAAAGCTGAAATAAATAACTTCAATCATTCACACTTCAACAATAACAAGCTACAAAGAACAAGCTGCTGATTGCCATCTCTTCAACATTTCTTCTGCCATTTTGTGATATCTGATAATAACAGCCACAAGTTTTTGTTTTTAATCTGACACACATTTAATTTGCCTATTTTTCGATGCAGACAAATGGTCTTAATAGATTTTTAATTTGCTGAGTCACTTTGGCTTTTTCGGGTCCAATTATATCCTGGTACCGTTAGGGTGAAAGCACCTACCCCGTCATATAATTTGAGGGATCCCTGATTTTTATTTTTATTTTTTAAGGAGCCTTTCTAAGTGAAAAGAACATGAAAAACAATATGCGGCTTCATAGATAAGCTTTTATTCTGTGCCGCTGAGAGAGTGCGTGAACTCTATGCCATAAAAATGTTACTGCTGTGCTGGTCTACATCTGGGAGGGCACAGCTGCAGCTGCGTGCACACATGGCCTTTAATACAGAACACTAAACTTCCACTTAGTGGAGCATGACAGAGGAGAGAAAAGTCAAACTAAAGCTTATATAAGACTCGCACAAGTAGAGAAAACTCTATTGGACAGACTTAAGCAGTTTGCTTGTTCCAAGATTCTGCTCTGATACTGCAAAGACTGAACACCATCTTGTTCTTAAACATAGTATCAAGTGTGTGAAAACAGCAGATCACAATGTACAAGGGTGAAAAGCTTCTTCCTTTGTAAAGGTCAAGGAGTTTTCCATCTTTAATGTCAGCTTTTTTATCTTTGTTGTGGCCCAAAACACTCCTCACTTACCTCTGGTGGCTTTTCAATTCCCAACCTGTCAGAACACATTCCTCACTGCCTCTTTGATGGCCAGCTCGAGCTAAAGAGAGAAGCCACTTACATCTGCTCAAATCTGGTTAGTGGCAAAGATTAGACCAGTACAGAGAACTCAAATCCTCTTTACAATTATATTGGCCGGGCAGGAGCCTGAAGCTGGCTGGCCTACATCTATGTGTGTCTGCAAGCACAAGAGGAAGCTCTGCAAAGAGGAGGCATGTTTTCTGGTCTTTAGTTTGCTTTCAACAACTGTAATGCCAAAAAGCTAACCAAAGCCAGGTGTTTTCAAACTGTGCTGTATTTAGTGCAGAGTTGGTGAACTGCTCACAACTATCTGACAAGTATGTAACTCAAACCTCAAATCTTTGTAGAAACATTTGTGCTTTTAAGCCATAATTATGATTAGAACAAACACTGCACACAAACCTACCAATTTCCTCTTGAAATCGATGTTGCTGGTGTTCCATCTACTTTCAGTGAAGCTGGATCTTCACTTTCTGAGCATATCTTGCTTTTTTATCACACGTGAAGTAAACAAGATTAATTCAGTTCATTTTCTTCAGTATAAATACACTTGGTGGGAACTACCATAAGAAAGGAGCCTGAAGCTAAACACTCATCTTCACATAACCAAAGACGTGTTTAAAAAAAAAAGTCATGACTAATTTGCATTGCCACAAAAGCTTCTGATATTATGTACTATTCTCACCACAAAGCTTGACATTCACATGTCAGAATTCATTCCCCTTAAATGCTTGCCACAGGGGGGGGATTTGTTTTGGGCGGACAACAACACTTCTGAGAAAAACTATAGACTTCAGGCCTCAATGTGTTTCTCCTCCAACTTGTAATTCAGCTCAGTTTCACTGATACATACTGAGAAGAATAGCCTTAAACTTGCTTTTGGGCTATAGTTCACCTTAGTAACAGTGTTACCTGCCTGACGATCCAGATTAACATTTCAGTTGATGTAAATCTACATTTCTAAATAGTTTAGCTCTAGGAACGTGCTTGTTTAAGCTAGCAAGACTTTCCGAAACAGCAGTGTTGTGCTGAATACTAGATCGCTGTAATAGTGTGCAGGAATTTCCCACATTGTAATTGCTTAATTTGCAGGAACTGATTATTATTATGCACAGTCTGACACCTTGCATTTCCAGTCACTGTTACAGACTCCCTTAATATTACTAACCACTTAGGTGCCAGATAAAGTGAACGTGAGTTGAACAAACTTACCACTTTGTAGGGTTCGGGGAAGAGAGGGGAATTTGCTGGGAAGGCCTCTCCTCCTCCCTGCTGGATTTCTTGATTTCGCCTTTCTCGTTCTTTCATTCGGAGCACATTCCGGTCCTCACGGTTCATGTTGCTATCAACACAGAAGAATAACAAGGTAACATAATGAGAAGAAATAATAAACAAACAGAGTATGTCTTTGCTGAACACGGATGCCTGCAGGGGCAGTATATTATGAAAATGAGATCTCGGAGACAAGTGCGGAAGAATTAAGCAAACATATAGTCTTGTTAAAAAGTCAGCTTGGAAAAATAGAAATGGTCAGTTTTCTCTCTTCTGTTTTACCCTTTACCATTTAAAAAACAAAAAAACAATAAAGTCACAACAACTATTGAGAAAGATCACACTACCGCTGTGCTCTGCTTTGACTCATTGTTAGCACAAACATAACTGTCATTAGTGAAATCCCACACGTATCATAAACAGGGGAAGTTGTGACCTGTGGAGAAAGTAGGTTCTAATAAGCTTAGCCTAGTCTAGACACTGTGCAGTACCCTACTTCATCTGCAAATAATCTCCTTGTACAGATGGTCAGCACAATTTGCCCCCAGCTGAAACTACCAATTCAATGTTTTCACACAGTGAGAAGGCTGCAGTTTACATACTTTTTATCTCAAAACATCAACAGTTGCAGGAAACGTTTGCGAGCACTTTGTTATTTATGATTGAGATCTGGGTAAATCCAAAGGGTACAAATCAATCTGACTGAACCACTAACATGTTTAAAAAAAAAGTAAATAAAAACTTTGAGAAGGTTATCAAAAACAATTTAACTTCTTTTCTAACAGCATCTCAAAAAGCAAATGTTGCACTGATGGATCTCAGATGTCGAAGATGGTCAGCTTGATCACCAAGCGTTTGACAATTACGTCAACAGTTTAGCTTATTTTCCTCTTAATGTATTCAATAAAAACACTACCGGTATTACCTGCAAATTCAACTCAACCTGCCCCATTACTGTTTTAAGTACACATCTCTGTTAATTTAAAAAAACAAAAAAAAAAAAAAAAAAACCAACACACCCCAACATATACAAAACAGACACAAAGGTTAGTGGTTCAGTGCCTACTTGCAGTCACTAATTACAATACGTTAAACCATTCATTGTTGTATGCGATCAAGGGTTTCAGTTAGCACTAGTTTGTTTTCTCTTCATGCTGGAAGCTGAAAATAAACTTGAAAGCATTTCTCTCTGAGCGAAAGCTGCATTTCTTTTGGTTGGGGAGCACAGTATAGTAGATCAAGTAGTACAGTTTAACCTCTTCCTCCACCTGCTATCGGTTCTTCCTAAACAAGGGGGAGGGAAATCACCCAAAACTAATTTGCAGGTTTCCCTCTTAAAGACTTGGTGTTGTGAGCAATGCCTTGACGATAAATATATAATAAGGTTAAAAAAGCACCACTGAATAAGAAAGGTATACCATTGATTAAAAAAAAAAAATCTCTTCAATAAAATAATCCTTATGGGATAATAAATGAGACAAAAATGTAATTTTCTGGGAAAGATGCACAACTATAGCGAGGCACAGTGGACAGAGCATGATGGTTTTGGCCAAGTTGCTACCTCAGAGCCTAGATACTTTACAACTACTGATGGATGGTTTAGAAAGTACACTGTGTCCATGACCTAAAGCTTAGGAAAGGATAATGAATGCAACAAGGCGACAACTCAAAAGCATAAGAAAACAAAGATGAGCATGTCGTCCTGACCTTAACCCAAGCGAGATGCCATCCCAAAATTATTAATCACCTAAAACAGCTTTTTGTCATGTCTCATAACATCTATAACAGTCTCAGAACACTTTTTTTTTTTTTTTATAAAACGAGTTTGTATCTTACTAAACTTACCAAACTCAAAAGCTCACTTAATTTGAAAAAACAAAAAAACAACAACAACAACAAAAAACTGTCAGGCTTTTCCAGTGTTATGACTAAATGTGTTAAATAAAGTCACGGAAAGTAAATGTGTTTATTGCAGACTGTGTGACTAAAATGAAAGATTGGGCCACATTTAAGAGCAATCAAATCACAAATTTTTTTCGTAACATGCAAGAACCTGATTGCTTTTAAAATATTGGTAATTTTGGGTGGACTGTGTGCTGGATGTTTGCTTGCAATGAATGACAAAGTTAAAATAGACTGTAATTATCTGCAATGAAACTAGCTGGAACTCACTGGGTCCCCTACAGATAAATAAACACACCCCGTAGTCTGTGTTTTCCTTCTGAACATAATGTGTGTTATTTAATCAGATGAGGAGAAAGTCATAAGGGCAATACCCCTCTGATCGGATGTATGGATTGACACCAGTGAGACAAACATCATTGCGACATGTAATATATCCATGTACACATTATCACGATAACAACTCAGAGCCATTCTAAAACATTACCAAAAATGCTCTGGTAGAGGAGAAATCAGGCACCTCATAGGTGCAGTGAGCCAAAAAAACAAATGTGACTTCCCTCTGCTGTGCACTTTGTTTAACAGAAAGCAACTACAGAGGTTTGAAAATAGAAACAAGCACGCTGTCATCCAGGCGTGTCGCCTCCCGGTTTAAGTCGACAGCTTCAAGCTCTGCCAGTGACAACAATGATTGTAAGGCTGTTGACACAGTGCGATTAAGCAGCAACCATCCGGCCTCCTTGTAGATTCTCAAAACTACACACAGGGTCTTTCTAATCTTTCCCAAGCATGACTAAAAAATGTAAGAAGTGGATGAGAAACTGACTCAACGATGAGGAAATTCTTTATACACAGGGAAGTCAAATGGCGAGAGAGTACACTGGAACCTGAGACTTACGAGGAACTAATGAATCATAAAAAATAAATTGATAAATAAACTGTGTTACAGACTAAACCTTGTCCCCATATGCTGGTCAAGCTTTGAATGAACTATTAGAAAAGCTCATCAGTTAGTCTAAACAGTAATTTCCCAACCAATCTATTTTTTTTTTCTTAACACGACCTTTAACCGTTTTATATCATCAACCCTGACATCTATGAGTAATGACAACTCCGACGCATTACTCATAGGAGGTATAGGGATTAATCCACTATGGCTAGGGTTCATTAAGCCACACTTATAAAGAAGCGACTAAGTCAACTTTATTTCATGAAACATACCATTAACATCATGATCACCTCTTGACTTAAAGCACAGCCAAGAACCAAGGCTGGAAATACAAAACCCAAATCCTAGCAACACACTTTGCATGACAAACTTTCTAAAACTGAAGTAGCTATGATTATCATCTACAGATAACATGGCCTCCTGCTATAAATGCTGTCCATAACTTTATTTACATCCATGCACATTTGATTGCTTAGATAAAAAGGTTGTTTTTAATCTGCTCCAGCAGTATTAGTACTACACGTGTGTATATATGTATATTAGTTTGTTGATGTAATGTGGGTGCGGGCCTGCATGTGTGATTAAGCCACAGTGCTAATTGATCAAAGGCTCCAGGCAGGATCCTTTGTAAACACAGCTCATTTCCATTCTACCAAATAACTTACCTGAGCTGTTATTTGTTATTATTTGAAAAGGGTGTGACGCTTTAGTATTACGAGAGAAACTCAACAGCCAAGGAGGCTCAACTGTCTTGTTTGCGCCTCCTGGTTGTTGAACTTCTAACATTTCTAATAATTGTTAGTAATAATTGTAGTACGCTTTAATTTTAGACTCTTCCCCAAAAAATCTCATTGACTTTAAAAAATAAAAATAAAAAAAAAATAAAAAAAAAAATCACACTTTCAGAGAAATTACCATGGTCCTATTCACGAAAACTTAAGTTTGGCTTCAGAATAACTGAGAAAGTACTCACTGTACCCAAACAGAAAAAAAGAATGAAAAACAAGTGTTGGTGACATGATATGACCATGTGGCACGTATGTGGTAAGCCTCTGCACTCAATCTGTTTATAGTTTAGTCTTAGACCTGCCTCTAAACGCAAACTAGGCCTCAGGAGTACCAAACCAAGACCCTGATCCTTAATTAAGAAATATGATTAACAAACAGTTCGAGCAAAACACCATGCCTTTCTGTACACATCACGATTTTTAAATTGTGAATGAAGAGTAAATCCACAAAATAAAAGGCATGGATTTATTTCTGTAGAAGTGAAACTGTTACCGCACACACAGCTGGTTTTCCACAAACAGTTTTGTGTTCAACATGTCCAAGCAACTAAACCAACACTGTGGATGGTGTTAATCATAATTCTTCCAAATCAACCCATCTCTCACGTCACAAGGTATTGTTATTCACTTTCAAACTGAATGAATAATTTTATGACTTACAAAATAAAGGGTTTTCCTTTCCAATTTGACCTAGGCCAAAAAGAGCGTACTGTATATACTTCTCAGATATCAGTAGCTAAAAGTGCAAGCTATACAAATAAAATGTGACTAATCGAGAATAAATTCAGCCACCATTTACTTGTGTTGTGTTCAAAACAAGTAAAACCTTACTTTAAAGTCAAGATGCACATATAGGTGAGCTTTGATTGGCATTTTCCTGACTTACCAAGCCTAAATCCAAACCTTGAGCCACTCCGCTCCCTATTCCAATAAAATAAGATGGATTAACAATAAGAAAAAAAGTTTTAAGTTTAAAGAACATTTATTAATATGAAGGTGTGATGGCCAGCTAGGTTTACTGTAGCCATTCAACACTGTGCCAAACTGAAAAGGTCAAAGTCTGAAGGCAGATCACTCTGTACCTAAATGAATCAGCTCGTATGTCTTGTTCTAAAGTACCACATAACAGTCAGATCTCATCTTTAAAAACAAACAAAAAACAGGGAAAAAAACCCCACGATTTTCTCAGTATCACTCAGTACAAGATCTGGCTTCTGGGACACAGCCATTATGTAAGGCAAATCAAACATGTCTCATCTGTCATATTCAAGTATTCACAATAGGATAAAGTTATGTGCTTTAGTCTTACCAGACACCAAGCGAAATGAGTAAAGCAGTTAAATAGCTCTGCATTTCTTACCCTGACTGAGAGGCCATGGCCCCAACCACTGAAACATTGGAAAAAGGAGGGGAGGAGGTTTCACAGGATCT